TATGCCTGAGCGCTTCTAGGATATATAACACGTTTAGCATTTCAACCCGTAAATGTAAAAAAAAATTTGGCAGTTGTTCTATATCCTTTCTGGTTCATCCAGGTAGAAGTCCTGGCATATTATTATGCCTGAGCGCTTCTAGGATATATAACACGTTTAGCATTTCGACCCGTAGCCGTAAAAAGAAAAAAAAAATAGGTAGTTGTTCTATATCCTTTCTGGTTCATCCAGGTAGAAGTCCTGGCATATTATTATGCCTGAGCGCTTCTGGGATATATAGTAGCAGTTTGACCCGTAGAAAAAACAAACTCAGCCGTTCATTTTGTAGGAGATATTTAAGCGTTTTTGTCTGTGTTAGCAATGTGATCGACTTTGTACGCAGACCTTAATAAAATGTTTTTTCTATGACGGCACTGAATAATTTTAGCCGAAACTTGAGCCGTACATTTGTTGAATGCCGCGCTTTAATTAAATTTCTCGCCCTAGAATGATGACATGATGGCGCGAAAATTGACGCCTCTATCGTATTAGATACGAAATATGATCAGAGATAAATGGAATAGCGAATGTTACAAGCTTCTGAGTATCCAGCTGAGATAGGGGACTTTTAGTTCCCTATCTCAGCTTGATAAACAAAATTTTTTTGGTTGCTAAGACGGTGCGGCTCGTTATGTCTCTCTGCCATCCAAGTTAGTTGTTCTTTATGTGAAGTGAAAGTCTTATCAATCAAGGCTTTGAGTAATCCCAATTTGTGGGTAAAGGACCGACGGCAGGGATAACTGAACTACATTACTGGAGAGCAGACCTGTGAAGTTTTTTGTTGTTGTTGTTGTTGTTTTGCTGCCGTAAAGCCGTGACGTGTGGCAGTTACAGTGAAATGTAGGTTGGTGGGCTGGGAAAAAAGGTAAGAGGACACAGAGGCATTCGTGTCCCTATATTGGCGCATTTAGCCTCTTTCGAGAACTCGTACGTTACCCCAGTTTCGGCAACGTTCCATATAAGACTCGACTTTTTCAGGCTTGAAAATCACAAAGCAGGCGCATAAGAACCGTATATCGTGTCGACTGTGGCTTAAGTTGTGTGAGTGGTCAAGTGAAACTTCCCTGGTCAAATCCACTACCACAACGTAATAATATCGTTATTCATAGTGCCGCCAAACTTTTTAGTTGTCTTAAATACATCAGCAGATATTGGACAAGCAATATATATGTTGATTATTATAAGTGGTACTCGGGAAAATGGCAGGGCAAGTTTGCACTATTAATAGGCTATAGAAGAGGAGGACAGCCTGACTGACGCGGGCGAGGGACGGCAAAACTTTGGTCAATTGCCTACATTGTATTTGCCCTAACAGGCATTGTTGTTAGTAGTTTCTCCACATTTAAAGAAATTCAAAAGTGATTGGCGCTTATTAAACAGACTTTTGTCGATTACTAACTCCTTCGATCCCTTTCCGATCCTTTTCCGTTTTTGCTCCAATCCAGCGTGTGCCTCATAATCAGTACACAAAAATTAGAACTGCGCTAATATTATCTTTAATTTCGTTATTTGCGTGCAGTTTTGTGCGTCATCATGCGTATTGGCACAAGTATTTATGCTCCAAGCTTTCACAAACGATATAAATTCAGCGTACTTAACACAAATATTGCGCGATCTCAATTTGATAAATATCGGGATCACCTGGTAAACGATTAGCTCGTGCACGTGCAGCTGGGTGCAATTCTTTGCACGCTGGCACGTGCAACTGGCACGTTTAGCTTTACACGTGCAATTTTGAAATACAAGTTCTTCTTTGACGAGGAAAATGGTTGTCAAGTTTGCATTTACCACTTCCATACCAAGCAAAACATTTTTTCGCGTAAATGGAGTTACACGGAAACTTCAAGGAAAACATCACTTAAGTCAGTAGTTACTCTGAAATTGATCTTCTTTGTTTATAAGGCTGATGTTTGCAACGAGGATTTTTGTGGCAACAATGTTGGAACAATGATGTAACAGTTCGAAACAATGATGCAACGCTGTGTCGCGCCGAATCGTCGTTGCGAAAGGGCCACGTAACATCACCTTCACGTGACTGACTTGTTTGGGTTCGGCGCCAAGAAAATTCCAAGTTCACAGAGATAAAGGACAATATACCGTCCTGTCTTCACGTTCTCAGCAAACTGCTTAAACATGCTTCATTTGGCAGTCTCTGTCCTTCTCTAGGAAGCTTACGCGACCACAATTAAAAGTGAATTCTTCAACAGGATCAGGGGCGGATCTGGGGAGGGTGCAGGGGTGCGCACCCATCCCCCTGAGATGACCCGCGGTTTTCTAATACAACTGGTATTCTGCGAAAAAAAAAAACTATGTGGTTTATTGGTGTTGAAGTAGAGCAAGAGACGAGTGCACCCCCTTCTAAAAAAAATCCAGGATCCGCCCCTGAGGATTATTCCATTTCGTTCAATTTGTCATAAGTGGGCTATTTTATTGGAGTGGAATTCTTAAGGTCCATATCCATGTACAGAAAAAGAAAATCCTCCATAAAACGTGAAATGTCATGTCGTAGTCGTGCAGTGACGACAAAAAAATGAACAAAAAGTCTGGCGCACGTGCCGAGTTAGCTCGCTTCACGCTCCAAGGACGGGAATAGGAGTTGCCATGGAAACGAGATTGAGGATCCCAGGGAATTAAGCCAAAATATAACATAAACGAAGGTGCAGAGCCCATGTTTTGTTCCAGTCGGATGTTATTATCTGCACAACGTCTGCACCGTTTCGATCACGTCGATTTTTTTGGACGATTGGAAAGATCGAGATGATCATATGGAAACCAGCCTATAAAAGAACTCAATTTTGCAATTGCGAGCACTCCAATCAGCCGTATCGTCCTACGTCCCTTAAAAATGCGTTTCCATATAAGTAGGGAGCTTAAGATCCGACGACGGCGACGGTAACGGGAACGCCACAAAAGCAATAGGTTTAATTAGCAAAACAACAATTTTGCACGTGCATCACGCTTTTTTGTACATTTCCTTGTCGTCACTGCACGACTACGACGTGAAAATGCCTAATTTCACGATGTACAGAGGAAGTACACAAGCGACGACGAAATTTCCTCTCTCTTTCTGAACTTGGATATGGTTCTTAGGAATTCAACTTTAGGAGGGTTTGCCTACATTTGACAAAGTTAGTGACTTGGACTAATCGTGATGAAGATTGAAAGAACGCGAATTCAGTTTTTCTGCGACGTTTTCTCTGCTGTCGCCGTCCTCGGATCTTGAGTTCCCTATTATCCCTATTATCTAACGTCGAGACGTCCTTGGGGGAAGCAGCTCACACGTTTTGCTCCCCTCAGGGCACTGCTTGCTTGTCTTAGTTCTGAATGACTTAGTAAGAGGACGATTTGCCTACAACCTTGCTCACTGGAAAAGTTAGCTTACGAATTCCCTTCCCCAGAAAAAAATTCCTTGACTGTGACGACTATCGAACATACGTTTCGAACCCTGGAACTACACGATTATATGGTAGCCAACCTCGTCCCCATTTCTAAGGCAAAAGCCCTGGGGACGAGTTTGTATGGAAGGCATATCTGAAACAACAGCATAAGAATAATTTTCACCAAGAACTGGGATTGGGCTTTAGTGTTCGCTTGTTCCTCTGCTTCTCTAGAGAAAGTGCGATACGAAAATATAATCGGGAAAAATAAAAGGAAAAAGAAAATCTTTGGACCCTTCCGCAGTTTGGACAATACAAAGGAATTATAAACTGACTGTTTTCACAAAAGCCAATAAAAGTCAATTTAAAAAGGTATTTTAATAAATTTCATTTAATAAAATAATACACTAAACAAGCACGGATTGAATGCATTTGATCGCCTGTATTCCAATTATAAGAAAGAAATGAAAGATTCTGCATTTTTTTGGCAACAAATCGTAAACCTCGGCAGGATTTTTGAGTCAGTGCGGAAATTCTACTTAGCGTACATCTAGGAGTAACTGCAGAATACCCGACCAATTCAAAGCTTTACCCCTAAAACAGTAGCTACGTGGCTGCGAGACTCATGGCTTAAAGAAACAGGTATATTGCATTTGTAGTGCGCTACGTGGCTATGCGGCTACGTGGCTACACGGATTCATGGCTAAAATAACGAGGTATATTGGAGAGATTCGGAATCACGATTACGGCAAACGTCAGATTCAAGTTGAGAATTTCTCAAAATATAAAATAAGCAGATAAAAACAGTCCAAACTGAAACGATTCTTAAGGACAAAACTGGCGAGAAACTATTTTTTTTTCTGGAGAATTAATAAACAGTAAAAGACAAGTAAAGAGGAACCTTGATCACGTGGTACAAATTGCCGTTTGCCGTTTGCCGTAAACGTAATTCTAAATCTCCCCATTATGACGTCATGTATCGTGGCTGCCACGTAGCCACTGTTTTAGTAGTATAGCTTCGAAGTGGCCGGGTATTCTGCAGTTAAGCCTACATCAGTGATTGTTGTATCGCTGGGATTTTTCTGTGGCAGTACACACTTATATTGGTTACTTCACTCATTGTGGTTACTTTGTGGACACAGACAGGAAACAATAATAACATTTTCCCGCCAAAAGTCTCCATGCTGGCAAGATTGCATAATCTCTGACGTCAGACGGTAACGGTGCTCTGTTAACCGCATACAGGATTTACTTTCATAAATTTGTGAACCGGCGTAGCATTCGTTTTCGTTTCCTTTTATGTAAGCGGGAGAAGCACGAGGGCGGGTATCCCAGATTCACTGTTTGTGTCACGTACGGGTTTCGTGACATGAGTAAATATAGAGAACATATGGGGCGAAGTTTAGGTCTGGAAATTTGCTAGAAAGTGGAAATAAAAATCGGTGAAACTTATCATGTGGCGAGTTGTTGTTGTCCTTAATATGCACATGAAGTTTCGACAAAAATAGTCTGCATATTAAGGACAACAACAACTCGCCACATGGTAAGTTTCATCGATTTTTATTTCCATTTTCTAGCAAATTTCCAGACCTAAACTTCGCCCCATATGTTCTCTATATTTACTCATGTTATGAAACCAGTACGTGACACAAACAGTGAGCCTGGGTTACCTGTGCTCAAACAAAACCGGGAAGAGAGGCTTTCCCCAACATTCCAGGGAAACCAGAACACGAGAGCAACACAGACATCTCTCTCCCTGATCGGAGGAAACGAAAAAGAAGGGTACGCACGCAGGCTATAAATTATTATAAAAGTAAAAGTTTGTCTTCATGTGCCATGAAACAAATCAGTAAATGACTGGTCCTTCAGGGAACTAGTAACATGAAAATTGTGTTTCTTAAGAATCTTACTATTTTCTTTACAGAAGCAGATAAACATCGCATGTCAGCTCAGCTCTAGATGTTACATTTAATCAGCACCGTATGCTGATATTTCTTTTTTTCTTTCTCAATGGAATACAGTCAACTCGCTCTCAACGGATGTCTCTATAAAACAGACACCTCGCTAAGATGGCCACCTAGAGTTGGTCTCTGCCTTTCTTTACTCCTTTTCCCATCTCTCTAAGACGGACACCTAGTGTCGGTGCCAAAGGTGTCCATCTTAGAGAGAGTTGATCATTCAGTCAATTCTCTCTAAACAGACACCTCTATGAGATGGACACCTCTCTAAACCGGCCACCTAGAGTTGGTCCCTGCCTTTTTTCACGCCTTTTAGTTGACTCTCGCTAAGACAGACATACAGTGCCGGTCCCAAAGGTGGCCATCTAAGAGGGAGTTGACTGTACAGTCAACTCTCGATCGCTTAATGGACACTTCTATGAGACAGACACCTCACTAAAATGGACACCAAGAGTTGGTCCCTGCCTTTCTTTACTTCTTTTAGTTGACTCTCTATAAGACGGACATCTCTCTTAGACGGACTCAATAGTGCTGGTGCCAAAGGTGTCCATCTAAGAGGGAGTTGACTGTACAGTCAACTCTCGATCACTTAATGGACACTTCTATGAGATGAACACCTCGCTAAAACGGACACCTACAGTAATTGGTCCCTGCCTTTCTTTACTTCTTTTAGTTGTCTCTCTATAAGACGGACATATCTCTAAGACGGACTCAGGGTGTGGATCCCAAAGGTGTCCGTCTAAGAGAGAGTTGACTGTATGGTCAAATAAATGGACCCTGAGAGAGTTCATAGCAACTTAAGTTTTAAACATGGTCATCACGTGAGGTACTTGACTACAAAGAATATAATTATACATGTTACTATCATCCCACCAAACACAATCCATTTGTCCTGAAAACAAAGAATTGAAGAAAACGATCAGCAGTTTGTTTTCCTCATTTTCTTGCTACTTTAAAGTGGAATTGTTCAAGAGAACAAAGCAGTACCAAAGAAAACATGAAGAGACAAAGGAATTGTACTCTTGCTCAAAGCAACCTTAAGATAAGATCAAGGAGCAGTATAAGCTGCAAACAAGCTCTGGCAAGCGAAGCAGGCTGTGAGAGAACACTAGCTTCAAGCTCTTATTCTTATTAAATATTATTAAATGACAAATAAAAGGATCAACCTACTTATGACATATCACTTGTCAGATCAAACAAACTACTGTGCATTTTTTAAATAATTACTATTAAAAATTATGTTACCACAGTACCTGTGTCGCTCTCTTGTCGATTAATCTCATAACAGTGTTGGAAAGACCCAGAGTGCTAGCAATATCCAGAATTCTCTTATGAGCTCCCTGTTGACAAAACGTAAAAATACATTAAAAATTTATGATACCAGTCTACAATTTACATCAAAATTGTCGGACTGTTAATGAATGACTTTAGACCTCCTTGCTTGATTAGCAATTAATGAAATATCAATGATGATGAAAGGATGCATAGAAGAAAAGCCCCAAGCAACTTGTGATAGATTACCAGATTCTCCTTTCAAACTGCCTTGTATATACTCAAGAAACACGGAGTATTTCACATTTCAGAATCACTACCAACTTTCATCTTTGCATCCCTTGACCCTCAAAAACATAATATCTAAAAGGACATTCTCCATACTGATCTCCATACATTTATTATGGTACTATACTGCAAAATCAAGACATGGTATCTATGGTGATCATTTCCTCAACACTCTCAAGTGATGAAGCAATTCAATAACTGTTATACAGTCAGGCAAAACTAGACACTGTACTCTGTTGGAGTCTGAAGGAGCTGTGTAACAAAATTTATCAAAAATTTAAACAGTGGAAACCGTCACCAAATTGAGTGAAACATAAAAAATAACTACTGTACTCAAAACAACAAAAGAAGGTACAAATGAGACAGCAAATACAAATAGAAGCACAGATGGACAAACTTGAAGGAGATTGAGACGGATTACAATTATTGTGGTTTTTTAAAAACTTGTTGGCTGCATACTTTTAATGTCACACGCTGATCTCTCAAACTTTTTAAAATACTTGATCCACTGCTCAGTAAATCACTGATTCCTCTGTCAGCATTTTGAAGTGAAGTGTTGTGCTGTAGTGCATGGTCTATCATGATGGATGTTTCACCGCTATTCTGAAAAAACAAAATCTCACAAGAGTCATCATCATTGTCATTATGTTCAATGTACGTATTGCTGTCGCTATGAACATCATCAACAAGTTGTGCTTAAGAGTCATCACAGTTTTAGATGTACCAAACTCCGCAGCCACACAATAATAATACAGAATTCAGTTACATTTCATCTTTTAAAACAAGAGCCCAAGGTAACATTTTTAACATGCCTGATGTCATTTAAAAACTACAGTGAACATTACGCAAGTTTTGTTCAATGGCTAAACTCAATGATAAAGGAACAGCAGTCTGGAAATGTCTGCATTTTTCCTGAAGGGTGGGGAGCACCTGCTGCTCATCATTTTGTTCAAGGGTGTAAATTGCAGACTCTTGACTCATTGTTTCCAAAAATTGATTTCTTGGTTTAGTATCCCTCTTTTAGGGATCAACAGGAGCTTGAGCTACAAAGAGCTTGGGCTCTTTTAGGGGCATAGGGGTTTAATAATGATGATGACGATGAGAATAATAATAATAATAATAATAATAATAATAATTAAAAAGGTAAAATTAGCCAAAAATGTCGAAAAATAAATTCTTGCTTATTAGTTTCTACGTTTACAATTTATTTGTTTAATTCTTTCTTCTTTATCGTGTTATCTAGTCCTCATCCATATTACTATTTTTATTTCAGTTATTTGTAAACTATAAACTTTCCTTAGTAAGCCTTAGTCTTAATTTCATAATTTCCATGCATTGTCCCACCTCAAATAGCCTTGCTAGCTGTGGACAATGCTTCTGTAATATTCATTAATAACGTTTGTTGTTGTTGTTGTTAATCAGGGGTTTTTTATCCTATCCTCCAACAAGCATCCCTGTCACTTTCATATGGGTGTTCCATCACCGGGCATTTTTCACACAATTTTCAGTTTTTAAACAACCTTATACCTTCATACAGTTATTCCCTTGATCACCATTACCAGTGTCATGATTTTGGTATGGAGCAAAAACATGGTTTAATTGTTTCACTCATAACAAAGTTCTAACATCCTGCAATCATATGGTTGAACATCCAAATCAAACCCCGCAGTTTTTCTTTGATTCCCAACATTTTCCCTCTTAAAACTGACACTCTCTAAAACCCAAAATGTTGGAATGAGTACCAAGTGTGCATCCAAGATAGGTGTCCACCTTTTACAGAGTCAAAGAAAATGACTGAAGAATGGCAGGGATCAATCTTCTAGGAGTCCATTTTAGATATTAAGAGTAAAAAGGCGGAATCCATTTGGAAATTGAGTAATTTTAATTTTCAGTGGACAAAAACCTTGTACCAGAATATTTCAAGCCATATCGCATTCTTTTTTACACTTTTCAAGGGTTATAGATGCAATTAGTTATCTGTAATAACACCAAAGACAATTTCTTGCAAGAGCCTGAGAAAATAAATTTTAAATTTCACAAGAATTGAGAAAAAACAGGTAAACTCATCATGCGTAAGATTTCATTTTGTGAAATTTGAGGCTTCTAAAGTTTGTTTTCTTGGGCGCCAATAATAACCTTTTCTGCAGAGTTATTTCATACAACTTATTACATTTATAGCCCTTGAAAAGTGTGAAAAAGAAAGCAATATGCTTGAAATTATACTGGTACAAGGTTTTCCTCCACTGACAATTAAAATTACTCAATTTCCTGATGGATTTCGTACAGGCATGTCCATTGAAAGAGAGTTGATTTAAACTGTCTTGCATTGTTACTCAAAACTTACATTAGCAGTAAACCTTCGGTTTAGAAGTTCTTCTCTTTCTTTTTCTTCTTGCTCCTGTCAAGAAGAAAATCACAGTTTTAAGCTATGAAAATTGGAAACAAAAACCCAATAACAGTTTCATGAAAACAATTTTAAAAGTTTCCTACCCTACATGACCACAAAAGTTTTGTTTTGTTTTCCAAAGCAATCTGATAGTGTTAAATTTCATACAGAGCTTCAAGTTACCTTCATCATTTTCCGATGCTTATAATTGTTAAAGCCTGTTTTCAAGTGTCTCAAGTCATATGTTAGTTGGTCTACTTTTCTGCAACAGAAAAAGTGCAAAAATCCATAAAGATCCACTGAGCAGCCTTCACAGATGCAAGCAATCTCTTGAGTACTACAACACAAGCACTGACAAATCAACTTCTGACGGAGTAATACTTTGGAATGGTATTTATTTTCAAATTTTAGAACTTTACACACAAAATCTTTGGGTTTCCTTGAATAGTTAAATGACAACTAAAATAAAGGCATGCATATTAGACTTCTTTTTTCATCAAAACTAAAATAATAATTTAAGTATAAAACAATAAGATAACCTTAGAACACAACTGAAGTGCAATTGATCTACTCCCATAAGGACTTTATTTAGTATTGTTGTATAGCTAGAAATTTTTTCCAATAGCGCACGCTCTCATGGGCTACTTCGACATCACATGACACCTAACAATGAAACAGTTTCCCGCCAAAATTTCAGAGTGGTCAACATTGCAAAATCTATGACATCAGAGGGTAACAGTGCACTGTTACCCGTAAATGTTGACCAACGACGGCCATTACAGCGAGGTTTAACAAATTTCCAGCTATATAACAAATCACTTAAAGACTGGTCCCTTGGGAAGCAGCTCATTTTGTTTCCCTCAAATCTCGGCTTCACCTCAGGAAACATTGAGATTCTCGGGAAACAAAATCAACTGTTTCCTGAGGGACCAGTCATGAAGTGCTTATTATTTCCTCCACAGAAAATCAGAATGAATGTCTTACCCTGACTGAAAAACCTCTGAAGAAAATGGAGAATTTATCTGTTTTGGAATACTGGGAATTAAATATTAACTTACTGTAAAAATCAGCTAAACTTACATTCTAGCACTTTGCTTTTTCTGTGGCGGTTCCTTGTTTATGAGAATTGTGAGTCGATCACAGTTAACTGAAGCTTGCTCTAAGTTGTGCTCTATTTCCTGTTCAATGGCTGCATAGGAACAGAGAAGGAATAGAACTGTTTAACATTCTAGTTCCATGTAAGGCCCAGATAAACAGTTGCTTGTGTGCAGGGACTACGGTGCAAGAGATGAATTATGCATGGCTACCAGTAGTTTGGTTTAAGCTTGCATATATGCCAACTCTCCCAGATACAATAGCCATCCCCTGACCTCCCATACCAGGGGCGGATCTAGGTGTGCACCCCCCCGATACGGCCTGCAGTTTTCTAATACAACTGGTATTCTGCAAAAAAAAAAAAATCTATGTGGTTTATTGGTGTTGAAGTAGAGCAAGAGACAAGTGCACCCCTCCTCAAAAAAATCCTGGATCCGCCCCTGCGTACAGGTCACCAAATCTCTTCTGAGCTTTTCCCCAAAATTTCTTTGATTCATGGTACATGGTACATTTTGCATGTATTTTGTCACTGACAAAAATATCTTTATTTTGTCTAGTGAATTTTGATGATATGTCCTTCATGTAAGACTTCATATAATGTCCTAAGTCACACCCATGCTTTTATTTGGGAGCTTGGTCAATTGTGTTTATCAGTGGGGTGGGGTGGGGGAGTAATGCAAAAGAGAGAGACTCTCCATATTTTAGATCTCCAGAGGCTGGTATCTCTGAGTTTGGTAAGAGACTATATTTGCATTATGTGACACTCTTACTAACTACAGCCATCTTCTCATGTCCTGAACTTAATTAAATAATAATTATTCAATAAAAATAATGCAAATATTTCTCATTATTCAGCCAGATGAATGTACAATCTGTTTAAATTAGTCATTCTTATCCAGTCAAATTTTATTCAATATGGTGCAGCTCATGGAAGGCATGATATTTGAACTGGCCAGCAGGCTGGTAAAATGGACAGCACTTTGTTCTTACCATGTAATGAATCAGGATGAGTGGTGCTTAACTTGCTTAGTAGTCCCTGAACTCCGACAATCAGCCTTGAAGAAGAAAGAACAATTTTACTACTATCTACTTATACCACCACAGGGATCCATATTCATTTTTTCTCAGAGTCATCAGCCAGGCAAGTAAGCCTGATGGTATACTTGCCCGGTTACAATTTGGGTTGCCCGGAAAAAATTGCAGAATTATATAAAAGAAAGGTGAAAAAATTGTGTGGAACTTGAACATTTCTGATTAGCAATTTATTCTGTTATGGTTACTAAGAAAGGGTTTTAACTAAGCTGTTAAGTACAACAGGCTACAGACCTAAGCTAAACACAGTTTATTTACATTTTACAAGTAGCCACGGTCGGTCACTTTGCCACGAAGGCAAGACGGTACGCTTTAATACGTTTCCCCCCGTATAAGGTAGCAGCTCCTGGGTCACCTTTTTTTTCCGTCAAAGGCAGTGAAATGTCTTTTGAAAAATGTCACATCTTGATGCGTATCAGGCACTGGCTTCTGCTTCACATTTTTTTCTGCCAAAGGTGACGAAACACCTTGTAAACGTCACATCTTGATGAGTGCTGTCACGTTTTCTACGAATGGCCTCTGAATGCAGGACTTCACAAAAAACTGAGCCTGTGATCATTTCGTAGAAAATACTGCACCATCAAAGATGGTGCCCAAACTTACGATATCATTGCAGACAAAAGTTGTTTGCTGTTTTCCATTATTCTAAAAGCTTTAAGTGGATCAGAGAAGTAATCAAAACACAGGGAAAATTTATAAATCATATAAGAATTTTTGAAAAGATTTTGTGGTTAAGCAAAACCTCACTCATCCGAAAGGCCACTTTTGAAATTTATCTTAATTGTCCATACCAGATTGTAGTTGTCTGGGATGACCAGACGATTGGAAATATGGATCCCTGCCACCAATCAAATTCCAACATTTATTTACAGAAAAGTCTTCTTTCAATGTCACTAGAGTTCTGGTGACATTGTGGAGAAGCCAGACATTTATGCAAACAACCATCAATTTGGGACTTGAGACCCCCTCACAGCCTTGATGAGACTGCAAGACTCCCAAGCAGCTATCAAAAAACCAAGACAGCAAGTCCCACAGAACTGTCTTTATAATATAAGAATCTCAAAACGTTCAAGCATGACAATTCCTTGATTCTAGAAAGAAGGTCACGAGTTTCTAAGGTAAGATTTCCGTCCAACCTCATACTTTTATCATGCTATCTGGTCGGCCGTTTTTACTCTTAGTTTTACACTGTTGGTGTTAAATATTAAAAGATTGCGCGCTGCACGCATAATACATGTCTGGTGCTGCACGGAAATCGTACGATTCTAGATATTTCAGCAAAGAATAAAGATACTCTAAAAACAATATTGTCGAGTTTCAAATTAACAACAGTTTGGCAGACAAATAATTTGGCAGGCGATTAAACCCGCGCAAAGAACAGGAAATTCTTTAGCTCATTTTTTTAAAAGACAGGTCACTAAGTACCTACCGATTTGTCTCTTGATAAAGGCTATCCATTCTTGAGACGCTTTTTCTTTATTTGGTGAGGAAATAAACGGCTTGTGCTTTGTGTAAATTTAGATCCAAACGAAGTTGTTTTAATTTTTTTCAAACACAAGAAAATCCGCCATTTTGTTTTGCAATTTACTTCCGCTGACACAAAATATGACACGTCATTACTCGCCCCAGGAAAGCCCTGATAACTTTGCGCGTCAAGTGCGTATTGATCAACATCAACAACAACAACAACTTTTATTTGACACTGTTCAAATTTAAATTAATACAGCTGATAGGGTCGCTCAAATATTAAAGTACATAATTATGATTAAGAATTTATACCTACAAGGTACTGTAGGCGTGGAGTTATATGAACGTGAATTGGTAAGATAATGGTTGTAGTTTGTTAATCAGTGAAACTTGTTTCTCGTAGAATTTAACATGAAGTAACAAAAAATAATTAATTTTGGGAGTTATAATAAGTTGGTTTTAGGTGTAGTTGTGGCAGTGCTAATTTGGTTATCAAGGGATAGTGTAGTCACAGTGTGTTGAAATGAAGAGGTGGTTGTGAAAAGTCTTATCAATAGTCGAAAACATACTTGTACTTATTTAAAACGTTGTTAAGTTTTTTTTATTATTATTAAGGATTGTTTTACGCTTATTTTTGATAATATTTGTATAGAGAGAACATGGATTAGGCCAAATTTTATTTAATATAGAGAAGGGGGTATGAAGATGTTGAGAAGGGCGCGGGGTGCGAAATTTTGTGTGCATGCGCGGGAGCTTTGAAAAATCGGTGAGGTCAAGGGAGAGTGGGTAGGCTCTGGTTTCATGAGCCGGGCTGGCTCGCTTTGCAGAAAACCCGGCACCTTAGTTAAACGCAACAAAAATCATCTTTGCGATTATATGACAACCGAGCCAGCCCTGTTAGCTGGGATCCCAGTATTTTGATGATCCCGGGTGGAAATTTTCTAGGTAATCACGCTTGCTGGGCTTCCCGGCGAATGGACCAAGCGAGAAACAGGACAGTGGGTAACACACTGTTCATGCGGATTGCTTCTCTGCGTGCTGTGTTGTGACGCAGTGCGCGGCAGACATTCGCGTCGCTTGGCTTGTTTCTTGGCTACGTTCGCACGTATTGCGTGCCTATTGCAACTCTGAATCAAAACAAGGGAACTTGATTACTCTATTTGGGCGACGCCCAAATAATAACTCTCAAGGTCGTTACCACACTGTTTGCTTTGGCCTCGCGAAATAACGCTACAATACGCACAAAGGCTTTTACTCTCATCGTTAAAGAAAGCTGAAGGCAGTTTTTCAAATTCGACGCTTTTTAAAATGGATCAGATCATCACGCCCTTTTTGCAAACTCTCTCCTTCCGTGATTGGTGTGTACGAGGTGTCTCGACCACTGAGATGGATCGTCGTCCTCCATTTCTACCATTTCAAGCAATGATTTGAAATTCTGTTGACATGTAATTGTGAATGCATTGAAGTAAAACGGGAAAAAACTGCGAAAACTTGCCGTCCACCAGTTGTGGAATAATGAAGTGTCTCACCTTGGTTTTTTGGGACTTCTTTGTCAAGACTAACAAATTTGTGGTGAAAACCGGGTAAACTCAAAGTAGTTTTGACAAAAGTTGAGTAAAACTGAGTAAAAATAAGTTAGACGGTAACGTAAAATGTCGATGCAATCTTTGAGCAAGCTTCCTAAACAGTGATTTAACGTCGTTAAGTTTGTAATGCCGTTGAAACCGTCGCGGAAAACAAATGCTAATCCCGGCAAACCCATCTTGCTAAGAACCTCGCAGATTACGTGCCTGCTAAAAGTGTATTTAGTTCTTGTATTCCTTTTTATGTAAACACCGTGGACGTTACAACTTAACTGTCATATAATAATGACATAATGAATGTTTTAGAATGGTCTAAAAAGCTATTGTCACTACGGACTATCGCCGCACAACAAGTCTCTTTAATATTAGAAAACAAAATAATACAAACAAAATTGCCGTTTTATTTGCATTAATTAAGAAACATGGTATGCAAATTGGAGAACTTTCACCCTTACGAATAAGATGGACTTTATTTATGGCTTTTCATTGGTAATGCGAAGAAGACCAAAGAAACTACAGTTACAACTTTAGTTCAAAGTACAGGATAGCTATAAACTGGCCATTCTTGTGCGAAACAAAAATTAAAAGGGGAAAATCCTTTTATACATCTTAACCGGAAGAAAGTTTTTCCAGGTAGAAGGGTCACCCATCTGTCCGATTTACCCTGGGTGAGCCAATTTTTCATGCATTTCCTGACAAAACGTGGCGATCCGTTTACAAAAGAAACAGAATGTTGGCTCGGCTCAAGGGTGATCCGCCTATCTGGGAAACTGCCTACCTACCCCTCCCCCGACCTAAGCCAACATTGACACTTACTTCTCACTTAGGGCAAAATGTTGGCTTAGGGGAGGGGTAGGTGGGCATGCAGTTTCTCAGAAACGTATAAGAGTCACCTTCTAGCCGAGCCATGCAACTTTTCTCCATATAAACACTTTGACTCGCGCAGCCAGGTCAACCCTTTTCCACATATAAATGCTTGCTTAACTTGACTCGGCTGCATGGGAGATTGGCCCTCCTACCTCGAACAGGTTTTCTCCATACAAACAATACTTTAATAAGTTTGTTAACGAAGAAGTTTTTCCCTATGAGCTATAAAGAATGGTAGTAAGAATACTAATAACAATTAAATTACTGATTTACTGAGTCTTTCCTAGATAAACAAGTTTATTTGTTTCTAGATTATTCACAATGTTTGCCTAAAAATAACAGCTATAGTAACAATAATATATAATCTTCGCTCAATCCGAAAGACATATCGAAGGTTACAAACATCATAAATCAGTTATCGGAAGTAATGGAACACCGCAAAGAACAAGAAACTAAAAACTTTGCTAAGTTATAATAACAGCAAAGCCTATTTACAAGGCAGTTTGTTATTTTGAAAAGGTATCGTTGACTACTTGGTTACCAGGAGTCAACAGAAAGTGCTAGACTCACTTTAAAACCTGGTGCATACGTAGGCCATCTACGACTAACAAAAAAAATTAACTTTCAAAACTTGGCTAAGTACAAAACCTTTCTTGTGAAAATGAATTTTATTTGCATGAGAATAAAAAAATTATTTTCATATCAATGGCTTCGCACTTAGCCTTGCTTTGAAACAGAGGTCTCAAACAATTAACTTGGAAATGGCTTTACTTGTTCCTGACGTAGAAAGGTCGAAGCTGGATCGAGTTCACATTCGGCGATACACTCCAACTTGAGTGCCACAAGCTGGACAGACATGAATGACATCTTTCATGGAGTCAAGACAGAATGGAATGAGGCAACATCCAGCGTCACATCTATAAAATGACAAAAACTGCCTTGAAATAATAATATATGAATTTCAAATATTGGAACCGCGGGAGAGTATTAAATGTAAAGAAGATCATTGCAGTTAAAAACGCAACTTATGCAGTTGCCAAAAAAATTCCTGAAAAAACTTTTCAAGCTTACTGGGAATCCGGAACCCCGACCTCTGCGATACCATTGCAGCGCTCTAACCAAATGTCTTATGAAATTAAGATTGAACCCCAAGCTTTCCACATTTGGTCGTCGCTTACGGGAGACTGCCGAATATCAGAGGGCAGAACTTTGACTGTGAGAAATGATTTGGTATTTTGACCGAGTATACCTAAACAGTCGATATATTTCTGACTACTTTATTCATTTATTTACAAAAGAAGAATTCATGGTTTTTAGTTCTAGTTTTTGGAGGGATAACATCTCAGGTCGGGCCATTGATTCAGAATCAGCTTCTTTGAAAGATCTATCAAAGGATCAACACTCGTTAAGTTTATCACTCATATATACATGCATTGATAATTTCCATCATGATATACAAGTGAAACCATATTTAGCGAAGCGAAAGTAGAGATCCATTTTCATAGATTGTGGGACGAAAAATCGGGACTTGCGGATGTTCGTGTGTCATCTAAACAGAATCTCCTCTTTATTTAATTAAGTTCCGCTTTTTTCAGCTTTCACTGTATAAATTTGCTGATTTGTAAAATAATTCGCAAGACTTCAGATGTTCAGAGTCCATGTTTTTCCTTGTCACGTATCAATAGTCGATGACAAGAGGGAAATTATGCAAAAATATATATACATATTAAAAAGGTTTTGGAGTGATACGGATATGATGTTTTTGTTCTGCGAAGGCGATAAGCCTTTTAAAAATTCAGTAGCTACTATTATCCTAGATTTTCCTGTTTATGACCTAAATTAAAGTGCAATGTTGCACGTTTAGTCGACACAGGCTGCTGGATTTTCTACAGACATTCATGTGGGCCTGACAAAGCATCAGGACAGCCTCAAGTGTTATTCGTTCGCCGCAGGAAAAACGCTAAATCATGCTGCCTCAAACTCAACTTCTTTTTATTTACACCATATAGTGAGAGACAAGATATATAAAGCGACCTTTGTAAAATATACTCTTGCTTATTTTCCACCAGAAATTGTCAACCCTTTTTCATAAACTTCACAATATTAAGAAAAAATGCAGCATAAAAGTATTATTTTATGCAAAGTGAAAACAGTTTGGTTTAGAATTTTTATAAGGTTCGACGATAATTATCGTCATTGTTTTTGCCGACGTTATGTGAGGGTGAAACCAAATAAAAACTTTTAAAGGAAAGAACTCGATTATAAGAACTTGAAATAATTGAGCCGGTCGGTTCAGAAAAATTTTTAAAAGAGTAGTCGTTTTTATCCGATCTGATTTTTCTTTCTCAATTAACGACCTTTAACAGAGTTTGACGGAAAGTTTTTTAGTGCTCGCGCTTTTAATACAACCACACGTGCTGCTGCAAATTTAGGGGGGAAATAAAATAAAAACAACAGTTTCCCTCTTGAAAAGTGGACTAATTTTAGGCTTGTGAACTTAGGGCAGAGTTAAAATACCGCCAACGACAGCATCATTTCAAGTATGTTAATAAAGTCAGTCGCTGTAAGCGTTGTGAGGAAGAAGATTAATTATAAGGCGATGCTTACCCAATTACACACAATCCGAGGCAGGCTAGCCATGTCAAGGTGCCAGAGACATAGCTTGTCGCCGTAACCACACTAGCGTGGCATCTCGGGCAGGTCGTAGCCACTGGAGCTTCGTGATAACCCGTCGCCACTATATGTGTTACTTGCGGTTGTTGAGTGATTATGGTGGTAGTGTTTGAGGAAGAGAAGCCTGGCTGGTTTGCCGCGGGATAAGGGGCTGGTTGAACAGGATACCCTGGTTGTTGTGGATAGCCGGGCGGTTGTGGATACCCGGGCTGCTGAGGTGCGAACCCGGGTTGAGGATATGCTCCCGGCGGAGGTTGTTGTTCGGGATAAGGTGGCGGTTTGTCAGACATGTTGCTCTCTTCGCTTCGTTTAATTTGTAGAACTCTTCGACTGCTTTCCTGTCGAAAGCGTAAGTGACGTAAGCGAGGTTGTTGCTAAGGGGAGAAGATTTGTTCGATTGTTGACAACAACAGTTTTTGCACCTGCTTTACAGCGTCCTTCTTCTAAATGGTCGATCGATGAAGCTATTAACGAAAAAAAGATCGAATTTTATATATACCGTCAAGAAATTATTAACGATCAGAAGCGCTTGAAACACAACATCGGAGCTCGAGATGCATGGAGTCGATTCAAACTAAATGGAAAGCTGATGTGCCATTAAAAAGTGACGAGTATTTTTTTTAGCACTTGAAGTGATCCTTTTTTTATTACTATAATTATTCATATAAGTATAGAATTACATACCAGCAAACTTGTAAATATTAATTTTGCGACATAATGGTAAGTTAAGAGCTTTTTCAAACTTTTGCATGAAAAACCACAAACTTTGCTGAAATCCAGCCGAAGAAACATGATCTTAAAAGATTCTAACCCTGTAACTGAGAAAAATTCAAGTGGAAACCAGGAAGTGTTTAATCATTATTTCAAGACAAAAAGCGTTTACGTTCTCCAGCATCGGATTACAAAGGAACGGAACACGCACGAAAGTGGATTGTTTTCATTCCTTGGGCAATGATTTCGCCCGAATTTTTATGAGACTATGGGCACTCAACAATACAAATTTGGAGACGTTATAACAAATTAGAGGGAAAGGGGTTCACTTCCGGTTGATGTGCGTCTCTGAAAAACGCCTCAAAACCTCGCGCCAACCTCTTTCCCAGGTTCCTCTCTTACTCGCCCCCGGAGAGAAAAAGGAACCTGGGAACGAGATTGTACAAGCACGCTATCACAACTATCACTATAGACCGTTTTCACATGACGTCACGGCGACCATATTTGTGTACAAAACAATGAATCAGCGGCCATGTTTGTGTACAAAAAAAATCCTGTGGGAATTGAACTCTTTTCACATGTTAAAACTTTCTTTTATTCCAAGCAATTTGCAAAGCTGCTGACCATGCCACGTGACTGAAAACGATCTATTGACCAGCAACCTTCCAAACCTCTTATTTTATTGGTCCCTATAACCTGCACTACCTATTGCTTCCAGGGATAGAGATATTGTTATGTCATCATCCCTGTTGTTTTCCCAGCCAATTACAAATCTGGTTTGGAATAGGTGCAGGTCCGCCCTACTATCAGCCTGTCGAAAAAGCCTGTTTAAGAAAACGTGTGTTTATTGTGTAGAAATGTCGAGAAGATAGTGTCGTTTATTTTTCAAAATCACTAATACAAATATGTTTTGATCTTTCTGCGCAGTTAAAGAAACAAAGCATTTTTTAAAATTTCACAAATTTTTTTAGACATCTGGCTCCAGTTGTTTAAAAGTTGGATAGCTCTATCCACACGATAAATCATTATCCAGCGGATAAAATCTTAGGCAGCCAACTGGTTTATCCACTGGATAGAGATTTATCTAGTGGATCACGTTTCCCACATTTTGAATATCTGGAGCCCGTCTTTTACTCCATCTAACAGTACCGAAGGATTTCCACATTCTGTGTTTAAAAATGGCAAATTACGTGTCACTTAAATTACATTTTTAAGGAGTTTTAGCGTCATAAAAAATCGTGGACCATTTTAGATGACAATATGAGGGTAGGAGATAATGTGTTTCTAGTGCAGTTTTCAGTTACAATTTTGCGCCTTTTGGTTGAAGGGACGGGACGGGACGGGACATACCAGCTTTCCCTTTTCTTTCTTGTCCCCAGGGAGCCCCCGTCCGTTTTAAACAGATTATTGGGCCTTAGCTGAGTACAACTAATTCTCAAGTCAGACTGATCTGTTATATTCTTCTATTATTATTTTATTGAAAACAAGTACCTAGAGCGAAATCTTTTCCATTTATATACACATTCGTCCCAATTTTAACTGGAGGCATACGCACCTTCATCACTAACAGTCACTGACTTGTACAATCTAAAAAAATATGCGATAACAACGAAAATCTTTTAAAGATGTTCCAGTAAAAAAGAGATTTTACCTTTGCAACTATTGGTTATTGGGTTGTATTAACCTTAACCTGTTTTCATGTTTCTAGCGGCTTCGCCGCTCAGTAGTGCCCCCGACAAAACCGCCACGCTACGCAGGCTACACCATCAAATCAATGGCCATTTTGAAGACCTAGCACGAAACTGGGCCGATGATGTGTTGAACTAACTTTGGCACCTTTTGATTGGGAGGCAGTAAAAACATGGGCAAGGATGTATAAAATAATAAGTTCATGGAACTATCTTTTACAAAATGATGAGTTTTTTTTCCGCTGAAAACCTCAGTTTCGGGTCCGAGCGCTGACAAATGGCACCGACCCGTAAGACCAGTTTCACTTTTCGACCACTTAGAACAAAGTTTTAAGTAAATACTTTCAGAATAGCTTTTGCAAATTATTTCTAGTTAGTCCGTGGTGAAAGGACACGGCAGTTTAACCCAACTTTCCAGTCCCCAGAGTCTCTCGTCTTTCTAAATTAAAAGACAGGGACTCCCCTGACTAAGCACAACTGATTTCCAAGTCGAAGACGGGTTTTATTAAAAAAGCAAATATCATGCGAATACTTTTCTATTCACTATATTTCTTATTCGACGCAATTTAATGTCTGACGACTTTAAATATACCTATTCTTCGCTTCCTGCCTGAAGCAATAAATACTGACAAGATGCAAGAAAAAACAAGTTTGTTGGTTTCAAAAACTGTGCAATGAAAAACAGTGATCAAACAATTCTGGTGGGTTTACAAATTCACACTTGACCACCATTTTTATGGTCCGAAATGATAAAATAAGAAAAGAGAATCGACTTTACTCACAGTGATTATGAAACAAAAAATTCCTAGCTGGGTGTTAGGTGACCAGCACACAATACTTTTTCTTACAAATGTACAAATTATTGTCTTTAAATACACGATTCTGTATAAACAGCGATAGTCTTTGCTTTATCGAATCTGGATTTACTTCCATTCGGAAACTAATTTAAAAAATACCCCGAATATCATGCGAATACTTTTCTATTTACTATATTCTTATTCGACGCAATTTAATGTCTGACGACTTTAAATATACCTATTCTTAGCTTTCAGCCAAAATTAATACTGACAAGTTGCAAGAAAAACAAGTTTGTTGGTTTCAAAAACTGTGCAATGAAAAACGGGATCAAACAATTTTGGTGGGTTTACAAATTCACACTTGACCACCATTTTTATGGTCCGAACTGATAAAATAAGAAAAGAGAATCGAATTTACTCACAGTGATTATGAAACAAAAAATTCCTAGCTGGGTGTTAGGTGACCAGCACACAATACTTTTCCTTGCAAATGTACAAATTATTGTCTTTAAAAACACGATTCTGTAAAAACAGCGATAGTCTTTGCTTTATCGAATCTGGATTTACTTCCATTCGGAAACTAATTAAAAAAATACCCCGAAAGAGAAGGGATCATTATATCTATACACAAATCGTTAATAGCATGTCCTATGCAAACCGGCCTTAAGTGTGACTCTGTCTTTCAAGTGCACAGCACTGACCAGACATCTTGATCACGTCGGCATTACTGTTGTTGATCGACCACAAAAGGATCTGTCAAGAGTTCAGCAGCAGATGGTCGCTCTGATCTGGGTCTTAATAACAGGAGATAACACAGCAAGACGTTAGTAGTTGCACAAGTCCTTTGTGAAGTCTGATATCTGGAGGAACTGTGATCTTTACCTATGATCTGCATTAATGTGTAGTTTTCCTAATGTGACTGACATTTGCACGGTGTGAGTTCATATGAACGGGTTTTAAGTTTACATAGAAAAAGGAAACTTTAATAACCACTGTGGCATCACGTTCTCTGTGAAACCTTGAATTTACCCTTTCACTTTATTGTTTGAAAAGGGCGGCAGAGAAATGTACAAAAATGTAAGACATATGCAAACGCATTGTTCCGCTTAAAAGTTTGTGCATGGTGTCCAGGAAAATGATATTATTCCATTTTGCGGCAAATGGCACTCTTTTTCCCCGCAAAACTCCCGTTGGAATAAGCAATTCCATTTGCTTTCCCACCAGAATGTCAAGGTTTTTCCTTACAAAAGGCTGACGCCCAATATCTACTCACGATACACATAACTGTATGGGTTCCAACAAAACATGCTCTTTAAATAAGCATTGGGATACCAGGTGATTATGTGTACAGAAACGCCTGCATCCGCAGTTAATTTGCATACCATATACCACATCATAGAAAAAAACAGCCAATCAGAATGATCGGTATTCCACTGTCCCGTAACAACAAAATGCTCATAGAAGCTTTTCCCGATTCACATGTCGAATAGAAATTTTGACTTGACCTTTGACAATTGTAATTTTCCAGAAAAACATTTTTACTGTAGGGTATATTGAAAAATAACTTAGATAAAACGTATTATAAAATCTACAGCTTAAAACTGTAGCTACAAAAACAAACCTATACTCTCAACCAAAAATTCCTACGTGCCTCAGGAACACGTCTGAAAATCTACTGAGACGCACCTACGTGAGACACAGATTGCAATAAAGGACAATCAATATCACCAGCGTTATTTGCTTTGTTCTGATCGGCCACTGAGATATCACAGGTATAAGAATCTCATTATTTACGAGAGAACCATGCAAGCTTACCGAAGGCATCGCTTTAGGAATCCACAAGCCTCTGGGGAACAGTTCGTAGGCAGATCAATAACACACTGTATAATCCGGAACCTCTTTTGCTCAATTGTCAATTTCTCAAAAAATAAGGGAGGTTTTGTTGTTAGCATCTCTATCACTGTACAACCAACACTCCTAAAAGCAAAACAAGAATTTACGAAAACTGAGACACCACACTTGGCTACTGCCACTTACTGATTTGTAGACGGGAGGCCGGGGGGGGGGGGGCAACACCTTGGACTGAAGCAATTTAAGACAGTACATCTATCGCAACTGGTTGGTGACCACATTTTGATCCGCCGATGAAAATTTTACGCGGCCACTCAGCAATCCGATAATCCTGAAAAAGGGCATGTACTCCGAGCCTTTACAGACTTAAAAAGTTGCGCAACATTTGTTTCACAAGTAGTGAGTCAGCCAGTCTTTTACGGATAGTTTCATTATTTTCAAATTTGTCTTGGAAAAAATCGACGACTTATTCGGCGTTAACAACAATCAATTTGGACAGTGCACCGGTAATGTTTACACATGGGAACTGGAAGTCGCGGAAACCATAACGTCATCTCGCAGTTGGCAAGATACGCAAGAATTTGTACATCAAAGTTGGATTTCCCACATAGACTACGTCGTCTTTCGTAGCAATTTGAACAACAAGGCTCCAAATCTGCGTCACTTCTTAAGGCTTTCAAATTCGCGCTTGCGTGATTAGCACGAGTACAGCATAACATCTTTCCAACTGTGTTTACATACTGCAGGGCGGTGAAGAGCGGAGCGCTTGTTTCATCGTCCAACCTTTATCCGCCCTGCTCTCATGCAAAAACGCCTTAGCGCGCGTTATAAAACGGATTACATTTATTTTGCGTTGTTTTCCTTAGTAATATGTCCCATCAGTAACTATGCTCAGGTAGTTGGTGGCTCCTCCTAAACTGCTCTGCAATTGGTTCAGCATTAACCGATTTAATGGAGACGAAACCATTTAATTGTGGAATTGCACACATTTTAGGCATCCAACTAATGAACGGTTACGACAGTTAGATATTTGCTGGAGCTACAATCGCTTGTAACAGATTTATAATTACATTTCAATAGAGTTAGTCTGAAGGGTTAGTGCCTATTATAACATGTAAGTACGTGAAAGAATCAAATTACATCAATAAAAAAGAAACGAAATATTCAGAACAAAATTGAGAACAAAATAAAATAAAACAAGTCAAGGGTGAATTTATGGACTGTCCACACGCGACAAAAAAGTGATGGTTGCGGAGAAGAAGAGGTTCGACAATATTCCTAGAGAAATAATACCATATATCCGTGTTTCGTCCAAACTCTTTTTCACCGAGTAGCTCAGGACTTGTCCAGTAGAAGGAAGCTATATTATTTGCCGTGTCAAAGCCACCAGTCGCAGTTCTCAGTTCCTGAAGAAATGAAAGACATGATATCTATCATTACATGAACCCTCAAAGCTTTGCAGAGCAGTTTTCCATCGAATATTAACCCACTTACAACTGCACCGCCCGTAACCGTCCGCAACGCCGGGAGAAGACATCTTTCAAACCAAATGGGCAAGATTGAGTCAAACCGTGGGCTACAGGACACATGGGTTTTGACTAAATAAAGGTTAAATTTTTGTTTAATAAAGTTGAATTAGTTACATTGAAGTAGTATTTTCTCGTTTCTGGTCAATTCTGCCGGTATATTTCTTGTAGAAAGCTTGAAACATGCTTTTTTTTATTCAGAAGTTGATCCGCATTCATTAAGTCTTGATAACCGAGCGCTCTCTTTGAATCCTGGGGCACAGGCGCTAAGCGCGTGGTGTCTTCTCCAAAAAAAACCCTGGGTAGGAACCAAACGTTGAACTGGTAAGAAGGGTGCCCGCTCCTGGGGGTCCTACGTATTACATTCTGCGTGACACCAGTTATGCGCCAAAGTCACATCGTACACGGTAGAGTCTGATTTGATTCCCGCGTAAATATTGAGAAGCTGAAGCAACGGCAATGGAAAAGAAAACGTCACCCTAAAAGTGAATTCGCGCTTTTTCAAACTACATCGCTCTTATTCCAACTCTCTTCATTTGTCATTTTTTCAGGAGTTGAATTCTAAAGGACTGTATCTAAGTTCACAAAAAGAAAAATTAAATCGTTGCCTTGTGTTTACGTCCTCCAAAAAACGTGAAGTTAGGAAGTTTCACGTCGTAGTCGCGCAGTGATAGCAAGGAAATGTACAAAAAAGCGTGATGCACGTGCAAAGTTGTTGTTTTGCCAAAGTAAACCTATTGGTTTTCTGCCCTTCTCGTTGCCGTCGTTGTTGCTTAAGCTCCCCATTTTGCAACTAGGACAATATTTCTCAGACTTCGATGCTAAAAGAGAAGGTTCTTGCAATCCAGGAAAGAACAAGTAAAATGTCCATATAATTTCCTTATAGAAAAAAGAACGAATGAGAGACGATGTTTTGAAACAGCTGAGCATGAATATAAGCCGTAAACAATATTTTGCTTTGGCGTGTTTGGACAGATCATGATTTACCTTATCCTAGTTAGGAAAACAATTAAAACAGTGAACGCCAAGGTTTGAAATTTAAATAGGGGTGCGTTCGATTGGGAAATCCGGATTTCGAATTTTGCCATAGAACGCGAAATCCAAAAAAGGATTTCACTTTCGAGAAATCCGTCCTCACTATGGATTTCAAAATCCAAATCCGGATTTCATGGATTTCCTTTTTACCGTTCGATTGGGAAATTCAAAAAAGGATTTGCAAAACTATTCTCGTGAACAGTGGTCTTCTTTTTGCTAATTATGCGTGCGCGTGCAAGACCGCTGTTCTTAAGAACAGTTTTTCAAATCCTTTTTCCGATTTCCCAAAACAAAGGAAAAAAAAGGAAATCCAAGATCATATATCTCAGCGTTGAAATCCGTTATCGGATTTCGCGTTCCATTGCAAATCCGAATTTTAAAATCTAAATCCAGATTTCCCAATCGAACGAACTCTGGAAGTAATCTCGCGCGTTATGAATGTGTAAATTTCCTTCGGAAACGCGAGTTTTACTTGATGTTCGATGAAGCGGCTCTAACTTAAATTTAAAAATATCCCTTTTACTCAGGCTTTTACTAAATAAGACCAACATTCTTCTATTTTTCTAGAAGATTTGCTGCTTTTCTGGTTCATTTGATAATTTTATTACTGGTAACGCGCTTCAAACATGCGGTAAATTTTGATTGAAAATATTTTTTTAGAAAGTCCGCACCCGTGTGGGTTTCCGATGTGACATTTCTAGCAATAGCCGGGGGCTGGAAAGGCTCCTTTGATCTTAGCAGCTTAACACGAATTTGAAAAACAATTGCTATTGTTTATTCGGCTCTACTATTGGCCAATAGCCCAAATCTCCTAGCAACCATGAAAGTGTCTCCCACCCAGTTACTTTTTAATGAATGCGGATCAAGACAAAGCGTGTTTCAAGCTTTCTACAAGAAATATATGGAGCAGAATTGACCAGAAACGACAAAAGACTGCTTCAATGTAAGTAACTCAACTTTATTAACAAAAATGTAACCTTTATTTAGTCAAAACCCATGTTTCCTATAGCCCATGGTCAAACAGGCTAGAGAAAAACGCCGAAAAATAAAATCAAGTTGGTCCCCACCCGCTCATCCTTCAAAATGATTTCACGATTCTAGGGTTTTCGCAGTACTATTAAAACAGCAACATCACTTTAAAGCTTACACTACCTTTAGTTTGGACGCACAAACGTCCTTTTTCGCTTAAAAAAGCGAGTAAAGGCAAAACTTAGGAAACCGCTTACCTCCATAATCGTACTTATTCCGAAGTCTGCCAGTTTTATATTTGTCCGAGGACCATCCAGCAAAATATTTCCACCTGAAATGACAAAAAAAAGAACACTAGTTTAAGGTTTGAAGCTTAAGACAATAAAGGGAGCTTGAGCACCCACGACAGCGACGGCGGCTGCTGAAAGATAGCAACAGAGGGTTACTGTACGTAAAAATACTGGATTCGTCTTCACGTTCAACTTATATTTTGGCGTACTTTACTGCCATTCTTTATAGCTTGTGAAAAAGCTCTCTAGTCGGGTATAGGGTGAGGATAAGGCAAGAAAGCGGGTCCCTCTTCTTCTCTCCACACAACGCCCGCCGATGCCTATTTATACCTTTCACAAATGGTCGACGCCATTTTAACGATCGATGGCATCATTTGTGTCAAATTCTTTAGCAACGACAGATGTATTATTACTATTATTAAAAAAGTGGAATAAAGGTGTCCACACTACAAAAAACCTCTGTTGTCGCGTTAACAAATACAATGCGAATCAAAAGCTTCACGTCCACATAAGAGCGTCCGCACTAAGCCACAGAAAAAGCATATTTGGCGAAGCGATTTCGTTCTCGGGCTTATCTCGGATGGGCGTTATTAGCGGGTCATGTGAGTAGCTCTGACGTCATCGTTTTCGAAAACCTTTTCTGCCCATCCACACGCACACCCGCAGTTTTATCTGAAAACGAATATTTCTCTAAATATGCCTGAACCGCATTCTCCCGACTAGTGTAAAACGGGTGATACCCTGGCAAATCTAACCTTTTATATCTTTGTGTATAACTTTCTTGGTTTCATTTGTATGAAGGTAGTCGACTGCACTGAGGAGTTGCCAAGTGAAATGTTTCACCACAGACTCTTGTAAAGGTCCTTCTTGCTTCACAAAGTCCATTATAGTGCCCTGGAGAATATAGTATATTCAAAAGATCGAGCAAAAGAAGGTAAGTTTTAAGTTTGACTCTACAACAGGAAAGGTGTAATATTCAGTATCTCACGAGTACGAAACAAAGAAAATAACTCAGCGAGAGCGTCCTCCCAGGAAAGGACAGTTACCTAGGGCCTGCTCCTCCAAAAATACCTAAACAAGGTATGTACTTCCCTACGGGGCGGGGTCTTGATCTGGAGATTCCAGATCTAGAACGGGGTGTAATTTTTCGAACATGCGAAAGTTTTAAAGCATCAACAGCGAAATAAGTGCCAGAAAAATTGAATGCAAAATCCTTCTAAACTGGGATCCAACTTTGGAGGCCTGAGCGGAACCCACCCACCAAAGACCTACATGGGAACAGCCCCCCTCCTCCCCACCCAGGACAGGTCATGCTAGCGCTGTAGCTCTGGTAGCCTATAATAGGCTTCAACTGTACAGTCTGTACAGTAAGATTACAGTCTCTCAAACACAAGAAAACTACATATCTGGCTTATTATGAGCCATAAAATGGTCAGTTTGGACAGAAAGGTTAGCCTGAATTTCAGACATTATTTCGAGTCGCTTACTCCCTCAGTAACGTGTGAATCGACGAGCCGGTAATGTCGTCCAGTGACGTCACTTGACGGCATTAACGGCCGGTCGATTCAGACGTTACTGAGGGAGTAAGCGACTCGAGGTAATGTCTGAAATCCAGGCTACAGTAAGGTTACATAACAATTTGCCTTTCTTCCCTTTCAAGCACTTAAGGTTTGTGACATTGCCATTTTCTCTCCCTGCAAGGTAGTCTATAATATTGATGGAAGATGCGGAAGTTTAAATTCAAGTTTATTCACGTAACACCACAGAGCTATTGCAACTTAACTGTCACACAAGGCCGCCAGTGACAATGCTAATCCTGCTATTCATTAGTTTTAAAACAAATATCAAATAAGTTCTAACACAGCAGCTGTATTTCATTAGATAAGATTTAACTTTGACCGAATAGTTTGAATAGTTTCTGTTGAACCCACCTGTATTCATATGACTATCCCGCGCAAAATGCAATTTGAGTCTCGACATTTCCCAAGGTAAAGTGGAGGAGAAAGGGGAACAAAACCATTTGCTTGGTATCATGCGTTAGCTGTATATGATGACCCTGGATAAATATTGCATTTATTATGCATCTAGTAAGTATACGTACGTTTACGTACCTTTATTAACAATAAAAAAATTCCTACCCCTTCCATATACTCCAGAAAAAGAAGCACAGTCTTCTTAATTTCTTCTACTCTAAAAAACTCCACAATGTGCTTGTGTTTCACACAGGACAGGGCACTGACTTCAGTTTCCAATGTCTTTACCAGCTAAGAAGATGAAAAAAATACAGTGGAACCTCTACACAATGGCCACTGACGGATGAGAATCTATTTGTTGGCCACTGTGTAAACTGTGGACGTAGCATCGTGTTGAAAAAATAAAAGACTATAAATCTTCAATGTCCACTTTGTTGATCTGAGTTACGAACGCACTACCACTGTAATTAGGTTTTGCTGTGACATTTTTATCTCCATGTTTGGAATAAATATTAACGGACCAACGGCAAATTAAATAAACCTCATTTGTGTCTTGACAACGTAGCCATTGTTTAATCTCCAAATGTCTGGCGCTACAAAATTGCATCAACAGCCCTGCGTCCATACTAGTGTTTTGGCATTGTGTTTGGTCATCCACACTAAACCATTTAAAACGTCCAATAATACACCTCCATTTTCAAAAGTTTTTACTTTCAAGGGCATTTTCGTAAACCTCCGTTTCGGAATGGCTTAGTGTGGACGCACGGCAAAAACGCTTAAAAATGCATGCATTTTCGTATTTAGGGGGAAAGAAAGGAGACGGAACCAAATTCGCAAATTTTACGACTCCGCCCAACGTGGAATGTAATCATTTAATCTCAACTAAAAGTCATTATAAATACGTAATGTAGTCTCAAATTCGAATTTAGTTTATATATGTTTTTTTATGGGGTGACTTCCACCCCATATTGTCAAACTATCTGTCCTGTATTTGCTTTCTATCCTTAGTATAACCTCTTTTAGCTTTTACAAACAAAGCAAAACATTAAAAGAATGGAAACAAATTTATGGAACAAATTTATGGAAGAAAAGGAAACGGAAAAGCAAAATTACAAACAAGCCACATTTACATAGATTTCATGAAGAACATTTGCGTGGCATCGATTCAGTTTAATATTTAACCAGAAGTTGAAATGCAGTTCGCTGATTGACAGTTGTAGGTTTTCAATTTGAGTAGTTAATAGTAATCTATTCCACAACACTCGCATTCATACTCAGTTTAATTAAGATATGGTAATAATATTACTCAGCGGTCTACGCCAAGCTGCAACAGCTTGGCTTCGGGTAGCAGAGTTGAACGACCCACGCGAATACTTTCGTTTAAGACAAAATGGGTGGGTGGGCGGGCGGACCGATTCCTTGTTCACTGCTACGCAGGAAAAAACTAAGCAAGAAAGGAGTGTTCTATCCCAACACAGCATTTATAGCCCTACTATACCTTCGTGCGCGTGTAAATGTCTCCACGCGGTAATATGTCCGGCACAAAAGAAACCTATTAGTACAAGAAAGTATGCCAAAATTCAACAAAGAAAACCCAGAGGTTTCCCAGTATTTCCAGATCAAGTCTTCATCAGCTGGGAATCTAACGTCATCCAGTCAAACATATGACTCGCAGAACCCCCGAACTCCCACTGAACTTTCTGCCACATAGTCTCCGTCAAGCGGTAACCTGATAACGACCGATGACAGAAAGGCTTATCAGCTGGATCTCTCAGTGGAAGGGACATAGGAAAGGCGCAGTAAGGCAGTCAATTCTACCACAGTCGCAAATCATATCTTCATTGGAGTTAGGGGGTGCACTTCTTCCTCCTTGGTTACGTCAGAACTAAATGATCGCCTGATTGTCAACCAGCGCATCCACTTGTGCGTTACACACCTGATCTCGACACCACCAACGCATCTTGATATTTGTCGTAACTTCCTTTGTTGCTCTATTACATGTCAACTCCACCCCAGACCAGAAATCGAAAACATCCCGACGGATCAGGGGGAAAATTGTTGCCCCTCATCCCAATACAGAAGCATCTGTGACCACCGAAACGTGAATGTGACACTCCCCCCGCTATGGTAGTAGGTAGTAGGCTATCCCAAGTTTCCAGGAAAATACCAGTAGGAAATCTCCTTCCGAACGGCACCACGTAGAAGAAATCGGCTTTTGAGAACGTCAACTTTTCAAAACGGATGGATTCATTTCTCTTGCAAATAACTGGGCCGCAGGCTCTGCCTGAGAAAGGAAGCACACTTCCCCAGTACAAGACGTTGCCAAGATCTCAACAGAGACATAAGTAAATTCAAGCGTCTTCCCAACAGGCATAATGAATTTCAGTGAGATTTTAGTCTCAGGAAATGAGGTAAGACACCTAAAAGAAGAGTCTGCCAAAACAATAACGAAATATGGGAAAATCTTTACCAGGTCGAGATGGATGTTGATAAACCTAGAGAGTAGCCCAGCTTAACCAGATAAGAAGTGAAAATGACAGACTTCGCAGCTGCAAACCATGATCATCAGTCCCGGATGATACAGTGCCTGCCGCACGGTACACGTAGGGTCAAATTTTCCAGCAAGACGGCAAACTATTATAGTAAAATACCACCCAACCGTGGATCCCAAAAAAGGTGTGACTATTTTCCGTTGTCTCTAATGCATCCTAAAACTCCCGTTTAAATTGTTAAGGGGCTTAGTTCCGCAAGAATCTCCCAAAACGATAACTGAAAACACAATTACCCAGCTCCGAACTGATTCGGATGTCGAAAATAACTCTTGACTTGCCAATACTTGCCTCGCCCCGCTCCACACGTGCAACATTACTTTCAGAGACGGATTTTATCTGCTGTCATCCTTCTGCTGACTTAAATGGGGGACACCCGAATTCACCCGCTGTATAGTATTCTCTGCAAATCCTCCACTAGTAATCCTTGGTTTTCAAGTGACGTCACAAAAATCCAAACTACAAAATCGCAAGGACTTAAAGGTTTTATCTCTATCTAGCAAAAGATCTCTTAAAAATGATCTTCTGTGCAAGTTTTCAACGTGATAGCGTTTTCCGTTTTGAAAATATAGCTCTTCCTAATTTCCCACGTTTACTCCCCGTGACATTAATATGGCGACCGAAAGGCCGTCACATATGTTAAAAAACAATTTTAACGCATGATATAATGCCCTTTGAATGGTGAAAGTATTAGAAAATGTGTTTAGGGGAATAATTTGCTCGTTCGCAGTGAACTGATCGAATTTGTGGCGATACTGAAACCAGATGTTTGCATTATTTCCGGCCGACCGCCATATTTGTGCTCCTCGGCGTCCCCATAGTGAGCCCTATAAATTTCTGTTACACATTTTGAAGAACAACTCAACAGCGGAAAACTGCACCTGAAAATTCGGTGCTAAACAAGAATATACAACTCGAACAACAAGGCAAACAACCTAACGTACAAACGTACCCGGTATGCAAATGTAATAAAATAACTAAAGCCCGGGAAGGGTGAAGATAAAAGAAGCTATAAGACGAATATTTTCCTTAGAGCTCACCCGGCGCTTCGTATCCATTATTTTGAGCAGGCTGTGGAGCTGTACTGGCGGGTTAACCTGTGGAACCCCGCCGTGATTCCCAACAGTCCCCAACGGAAAAGGAAATTGCACGTAAGCCACTTCAGCCACGAAAGAGGAAAAAAATTCGCATGGGTCGTTCTCTTTAACGATTCCTTGTTTACTGCTCCGCTGGAGAAAACTAAAGGAGTGTTCTGTCCCAACACGGCTTTTATAGCCCTACTATACCTTCGTGTACGTGCACGCGTGCATTGAGTCTTTACGAATATATTATTTTCACATGTTATACTTTCGCATATCATTACGAGTGATATGAATAGGAATTAAGGGCCTGTTTACATGGAGGTGGGGGATCCCAGGTAGGTGAGGTAACATGTGGCGGCTCACCCCACCTAACATGTAAACGTGATCAAATTAAAATGAGAGATTATAGAGTGTTTTCACTCACGCGGCCAGCATCTATGCAAATTTATTGGAACAAAAGAAAGCATTTACATGAGAAAAGAGTTGAACTCCCCGCGGACTAGTTTGGGACACCAACATGGCCGCCGTTTCATAGTTTTGGGACACCAATATGGCCGCCGTGACGTCCTGTGAAAACACTATATGGGCAGGCGGGTTGCCCCACCTAAGCGGGTTACCTTACTGACCTGGGGTCCCCCACCCCCACGTAAACAGGCCCTAAATTCCCGTGTTGGTTAGCCCGCGTGGCAGGCGTTCGAAAGGGAAGGGGGAGGGAATTAGGGCGCGAGACCACGCGCGAGGGAACAGGGAGGAGAGTTCCTTTCCTTTCTCCCTCGCGCGCCCAAATTCTCCCTTCCCCTTTTAACGCCTGCCACACAAGCTACGTGTTGGTGAATTAGCTTTCCCGCTTTTGAGTGTTCTCTAATTAGCTTTGTAAGTCTGTTTGTTTAAGCTTTTTTTTGGATTTTTGAAAGTAATCGGCCGCATGTGAACTATGTAACACCGTGTGGTTTACTCACTTATATCTGTTCCGGTAGTATGGATAGCTAAGACCTAAGACCTCGAAAACTGAGACCTAGAAAAATAAGGGTTTGAAAACTAAGACCTAGAAAACTAAGACCTCAAAATGTTGACGAAGGCCGTCTGAATCGCGCGGAATTCGGGCAATTACTTTCTTCACCAAATAGTACAATGAAGAGGTACCAAGTAATTGTCCGAAATCCGCGCGATTCAGACGGCCTTCGACAACATTTTGTGGTGTTAGTTTTTGAGGTCTCCTTTTTCGAGGCTTTAGTTATTAGCTTTCTACACTACCTGCTCCTTCGTGTTTCTCAATCGATACGGTGTACTAGGGTATTTTATTTTCCGTTACAGAGTAAGATTAGCCCCTTTGTTTGTAAATATGTTGTACGAATTTCAAAATACACGTGGATTCAGACAAGGCTCCACCGTTTTAACGAAAACAAACACATTTCTACATCTACATTCATTAGTCAGCAGAAACTATGTACAGCTATCATTGATATTAAAATAATTAAGAAGTAAAAAATAATGCAAGATAAGAATTTCTACAATAAGAATAAGGAATGCAAAAGAATAACAGGTATAAATAAATAATAAATGGCAATACTTTTAAAACTAAAAGGACAACACGTTCGGGAGTTAAAATCTGAAGGATATTTTTCTCCTGGATGATAATCTTGGTTAATCATTAAAAGCAATAGCAAGCACTAGTACTATTTAAAACTACCAGTGAAGTGACAAGATTTGTTTTAGTTTTGTACCTGGTCAGTGTCCTGGAAAGTTGTCGCCAGGTCATACATTTTACAAGCCATCCCCTTGCCGGTTTCCTTTTCAGTTACAAGGAAAACCTGTCAAATGAACATCACGTTTCAGAAGAGTTTATCTTTTAACTGCAAAGATAACTGGGGTCAATTAAATATAGCTTTTACCCAAATGTAAAAATTTGGAAGTCTCAGTAGTCATTGGTTTCTTGCCGGCATGGCAGACGTTAGAAGAGGAAGAGAAAGAGGAAGTTAAGGCACAGGAGAACGCGATGAGCGCAAAAGGAAGAGGGAAAGAGGGGTATCTTTTACTTTTCCCTCCCTCGCGCGACCTTCCTGTACTCGCGCGCTTTAATACCCCCTTGTCCCTTCCCCTTCTAACGCCTGCCACGCAGGCTACTGTTTTCAGACCCTAAAACAATAGCTACACTTGAAAATTACTCTTTTAAAATTTTTATTAAATTGACCCCTGGTTGGGCAGAATTATTAGGATTTTGTCTACACTCAAAGAGTGAAAGTTGGTTACAAGAATAAGGGGATATCATTGTAGTCAATGACACAAGGATAATAATGGGAAGGGTGGAGCTATGTTCAAATTGAACTTCAACATGCTCTTCATGCACTGGGCATTTTAGTCCTCGGCTCAATGAGTTGGAGTGGTGAATTTGAGGACAGGTCAGGAGTCTGCGCAATGGGTAAAATTTGATC